AGGGTGGGTCGGAGGGGCTCATGGCTGGGGTTGGGGGGCGCTCTGCCCTCCCACAGCCATCCTGGGAGGCTGAATAGAGGGCCCAGGTGCCAGGGGCAGAGCGGCCTCGTGGCAAGCCCTCACTTCACCCTCCGCCCGTCAGGACCCCAGAGAAGGAGACCGTGGGCAAAGCCGTGCTACCCCTGGCCCGCACCCGCAGCCACCTGTGGGCCTATTCACCTGAGCCGCTGCGTCAGCCGCTGCTCAAGCGTGTCCACGCCAACGTGGACCTCCACGACATTGCCTGCCAGATCTTTGTCGATATCCTTGCCCAGCCACCCACCAGCACAGGCATCTGAGCCCCAGCACCTCAGCTGCCCCCTCAGGAGTCAGGCCTCACTTCAGAGTGCAGGGCAGAGCCCACCGGAAGCTCCCTGCGGGGTTGGGGTCAGGGGTCAGTGTAAGGCCTGGGTTGGGGTGCTAGCCCTGGTCAGCGTGTGGGGCCTGGGTCAGGCGTCAGAGTGGGACCTGAGTCAGGGGTCAGCTTGGGGCCTGGGTCAGGGATCAGTGTGAGGCCTGGGTCAGTGCGGGGCCTGGGTCAGGCGTCAGAGTGGGACCTGGGTCAGGGGTCAGTGTGGGGCCAGGGTCAATGCGGGGCCTGGGTCTGGCGTCAGAGTTGGACCTGGGTCAGGGGTCAGTTTGGGGCCTGGGTCAGGGGTCAGTGTGAGGTCTGGGTCAGTGTGGGGCCTGGGTCAGGCGTCAGAATGGGACCTGGGTCAGGGTCAGTGTCCAGCCCCAATCAGGGGTCAGCTTGGGGCCACTCCCAGCACCACGCTCCTTGACAGCCATACCCATCCTCAGATACATGGGCGACTACCCCTCTCGGCAAGCCTGGCCCTCGCTGGAGCTCACCGACCAGATCTTCTCACTGGCCCTGCAGGACTCGTCCCTACAGGACGAAGTCTACTGCCAGGTCCTGAAGCAGCTGACGCACAACACTAACAGGTCTGCCGGGCACAGCAGGACAGCAGGACAGTGGGCGCTGGCCACTGTCCGTCCCAGCACCCTCATGGCCGGGGCTGCTGCTCACAAGGGAAGCAGCTCATGGCGCCCAATCCTTGCCCAGCAGCAACAGTGGGAAGGGCTGGGGACGAGGCCTGCTGGGGTGATGTCTCGGGGTGGTCAGAGCAGGGGGAGCAGACCTGCCCCGGGCCCCGCCTGCTCCCACCCTCTCTTGTGAACTGGGCAGGCTGTGTCCACTAATCCAAGAAATGGGCACAGTGGTGCTGCTTCCATCTCTAGGGAGTGAAGGCCCTGTGGCATTGGACAGCCAGGCAGGGGTTGGCACGGGGCGACCTAGCTGGTGGCCCCTGAGTCCTCCCCCTCAAGCCCTCAGACTCCAGGCCCAGAAGGTCTCGTGTCCCTGCTCCCTGAGGTGCCTGCCTGGCCTGGACTCCGGGGGGCCCTTCCCAGCTGACGAATGCTACCCGCCAGGTACAGCGAGGAGCGGGGCTGGCAGCTGCTGTGGCTCTGCACGGGCCTCTTCCCGCCCAGCACGTCGCTGCTGCCCCACGCCCAGAAGTTCGTTGACACTCGCAGGGGAAAGCTGCTGGCCCCCGACTGCAGCCGCCGCATCCAGAGGGTCCTGAGGTGAGCCTGCGGCCTCCGTTCCCCCTGCGTCAGTGCTGCGCCAGCAGGGGCGTGGATGGGGAAGAGGGGGCCCAGCGGTGAGGGCCTGGCCCAGCCCTCCAGGAGCTCAGGATCCAGGGGTACGCTACAGAGGCTGGTGTCATCTTGGAGAGGTCGGGCAGGCCCTGGGCCACCGGAGTGGAGGGTGGAGGGTGAGGCCCAGGAGGGTTTGGGGAGGCCCAGGGCAGTCAGTGGAGGTTTCTGGCAGGCTCAGTCGTAGCCACCAGCTCCCCTGCTCCACCGCGGGCCGCTCAGTGTACACAGGAGAGTGACTCAGACATTCCAGCCCCGCCCTGAGCAGCTGAGGTCCAAAGCCCATCCCTCCCAGCCCTGGTGCTCCTCCCTGGCCCTTCCACAGTGAGAAGTTCTTCCTTGGCTTTCTGTCCATTCTCCCCATCCCTCTTGCCTCTCTGGCTTGGCCTCCCATGGCCATGGGGAGGGCCGGCTGACGGTGGGAGTGGCCATGGTTGCAGCGGCAGCCTTGGTCACAGAGGAAGGTGGGCGCCCTGCCAGAATCCCCAGCCCCTGCCTGATGCCCCTGTCGTGTGAGAACGCGGAGCACACAACTGGTCCTGGCCCCGCCCACCAGCGCCCCTCACCCTGGCCGCTCCCCAGGTGTGGCTCAGGCCTTCTGGGGCCTCCTCAGAACCAGTCAGCGTCTGGAAGGCAAGACCCAGCCCCGCCCCCTCCCCCCGCCACTGCCTCCTCTAGAGCCCGGTGTGAGCCCCCCAGGCAGGGGCAGC